CCGTTACCGGAGTGATTTCGTCCGCTGATGTGCAAAATCAACCGGGGTTTGGTGCTCCACCCTCGCTTACGGCGTATTTCCACTAAGTTAAGATTTATACCAGCACCGATCTCGGACACGTAAAATAAAATAAACCTCCTCGGGCAAACATGTTCTGTTTTCTTTTACGCCCGAAGGCCTCGGCATCCAGCGCTGGGGTCCGTCTACACCTTCCTCGTCTTTGCTATTTGTGCTCTGTTCCCGGTTGTATCATGAATCAACTCGCCTGCATCGCCACTTTCATCCTAAATATTATTCCTGAACAAGAGCCAAGCTGTTCTGTTGAGGATAGCTCGGGCCACCTGAAAAACGGTTTCTCTTATGTCGGCGAGCTGGGTTGTCTGTTTGTCCGCCTTATGTGACCCCGGGCCCAAACAAAAAACGGAGAGCGGAAGCGTGCACTTTTACCGGAGAGTTTTCCCGACGCTTCCGCTTTGTCCCGGTTTTTGACGGGGGAACAAGCGGGAAGGGCCTTGGAACGCGTGCTTGTCAAAACCAGTGTTCCCAGCCAATCGCAGGAACTAGAGAAGGGGAGAGGAGTTAAAGGCGAAGCAGCAGGTGGACAGAGACATTCTCATTAACATGTCACGAGTCACATCTTTCTGACGACTGACTCGACGTCACCTGCACCTTCGCTCCCCGATGTCTCCGTCTTGCTCCGTCAAAAATCATGTCCGAACCGAAAAACGGAACGAAGCGTTCCCGTTAAATGTGCACGTTTCCCGATTTCCGTTTACGGTTTGGAGAGGACATTTTCCGAGAAGTGTGTGAGCTCTCCTCACCTAGTGGCGGAGGTTGACATGGACTCAGGAGGAAACGGGGGTCAGACGAAATATTGGAGACGGCACGCGTCGGCTTCCAGCAACCGACGCACGTTTTCGGGTGTTTGCGAGCAGTTGCCGCATGCGCAGAAACATGTGCCGCCTGCTCTCTGCGCTGCATTTCACATTGCGGTGAACCGCAGAGGACGCTACGAGCTCCCAAAGGCACTCCAGTGTTACGTGAGCGACAAAGTAACGACAACGTAGTCACGTGATGCGTTCACCGCCCTGGATTGGCTAAGATGGCCCGTAACGCCCGCTGTCCATCGTAGGCTGAAACGAAGCCGGGTTTGGGGAGCAGCGAGGACTCCCATGGTTATCTTCAGGCGGACTCTGTCGCCGACGCACTGCGCGACGAGTTTTGTGGGTTCGCGGGGTAGGCGCTTTTTACGCATTGTTTTTAGACACGCCAAGAACATGAACTGTCTGCCGCCTAATTTAATCTCTAGGACGGGAAGATTGAGTTGTTGAGCCAGCAGCCTTTCAGCTGCGAGAGTAAAGCAGAACAGCAGAACGGGCGATTGCAGACGTGCCAACTGGGTGAACCCGTAATTTAAGCGAGGGTCTATTTTATGTAATTAGTTTATTTAAAAAATAACATTTTAAAAGAAAATAAATTTTATTTTACACGTTTTCGGATTGGGTTTTTCTTTCTACGAGTATAATACAAAAAAAAAAAAAAAAAGAGGGAAAAGGGGGGGGGGGGAGCGAGGTTTTATTTGCAACTTTGGTCTCTACACCAAGAATAGTGTTTCCGACAATAGACGCAGCTCTCAGATCCGGGCCACTTTCTCCAGGCCGGGAAAGGATTCTCGCCCTTGGGATTTTACTTGGCACTTAGTCGCTTACAAAGCCTCACAGTGGGTCAAATGCACCGATGGCAATCTATCGGCCAAATTAAGGAAGTATTTTAAGAGAAATATGTATAAAAAAAAACTTCTATTGTTTTAAGAGCGACTGTATTTGCCTTGTAGTCTTGCCGAGCCCACGGGCATGCCTGACACCTCTTTGGAAATTGCTGCTTCCGATATTATGCGGTGATATAGAGTCTAATCCAGGTCCGCTGACCAAGGCCCAAAGCGAAAAACTTCTGCCGAGTATTCATGGCAATTGTAACAAAACTTGAAACTGGACAATCTGCTTTGATAAAACAAGTAAAAGAACTGAACGAAAAGCAGGCGCATACGGACAAGCTTGTAACAAGTCTATAGCCTCCCGAGTCACCAACTTAGAGGCTGATCTGGCTACGGTGAAATGGAATCCTGTGGCGGTTCAGACCGAGGGCGCCGACGCTCCTATCACGGAGTCTCATCTGAAACAATTGGAGGCACGTTGCGACGACGCAGAAAGCCGAGGACGCCGGTCTAACTTACTATATTATGGTCTTGACGATAAGGAATCAGAAGCTTGGCATTGTGCTAGACGACTTCGCCGTAGACAGGGCATATCGTCTAGGCCAATTCGACCCCTACAAACTTGGGTCCATTATTGCAAAGTTGTGCTTTTTCAAACATAAACAGGCCATTCTTTCCGCTGGTGTTGAACTGAAGGGTACTAATCTATCCGTTGGTGAAGATTTCCCGGTAAACATAAGAACTGCTAGGAGCGAACTGCTCGCGTACGTGAAACCCAAAAACTGTCGATTTAAGCTTCGATATGATAAGCTCTACGTAGATAACACCTGTTTCGTTTATGATCACGGTAACCAATGTGTAACTAACTGCCAAGGAGGAATAGCAACCCAAGAATAAAAAAATATGTTTCTTCCGCCCCTTCTGCGTCGTCATCAAAACGAACTGAAGATCCGTTCTACGCGTGTGAAAGTATATCCACCGTCCTCTCATAAGAATGATAAGGCCCTTGAGAACCGACATTCTTGCATCATCGAGTTTTCCAAGCTGAGCTTTGATTGCTTGCGTTTGCTTTTGTTTTGTTTTGTGTCTTCAGTACATATTTGTTGTGCTCAGCTCTAGCGGTTTTTACCAACTCTTTGATGACTTAGTTATATATTTACTCGGGAGCATCACTCGATATTTTAAACTTACCCTCGAAATGTCGACATCGACAAATAAGTCGCGAAAGCTCTTTGTTTGTCTCCATTGATTAGGAGCATTATCAGAAAAGTGGAGATCTTCGCTGCTCTAAAATATAGTCAGCTACTCCGTTATACTTTCACTTTGCGACTTAATTTGGACTGCGTCCTGTCAGCCAGCTGTTACAAAATGCTCGAGTGCGCAGGTCCAACTTTGCCTCAACTGAAGCAAACGAATGATGAAAAAGGTGTTTCCTTGTTTCCCATCTCACGTTCTCGCAACAAGAACTTGACGGGTACACGCAGACAAAGGCGACGGAGTTGTGCAAGTTGTCGCGGAGAGAAAAAGAAATAATTTTTTGGCGAGCGTGTCGAATTGTTTTTTCTCGAAAAAACAAGAAGCAGTAAAGAGTGAGCGAGGGAGGCAGAAAAATAAGGAGAGCGAGAGAAACAACGGGGTGAAAACGAAAGGTAAAGGTAATCCACGAAGCGGATAAAATAAGGGAGTGTATACATGAACGAGATATGATAGAGTGGTCTGAGGCGGCTGGAATACTGTTGCAATTTATGAGTTCTAAATACGCCCTTTTAGATGTCGGGAGCCGTCAAATGTTTGTCGCAGAAACTACAAAAGTTCTACTCTAATTGCAGTGACGGGAGACGAAAGTCGTCTAAATCGCGTGCCCTCTACTTTGTAAATAGAAGACGACGCATGTAGAGCTTATCGGAGGTTTTTGAGTTTTAGTCTATGTGGACACCAGACGCCCATTGGGGTTGACTAACTTCCGGCTGTATAAACATACAAACTACACATGCGTCATTCCGCTACACTGTAACGTCGCCATTCGGGAGTGCTCGGTTTGGCACGGGGTTAATAGAAGGGTTTCTGAAAAGGGTGGGCGACACAGGAGCAAACGGTCGTAACTCGGATGAAAGTCTCCCCTCACGCCCTAGTTAAAACGGGAGAAAAAAAGAAAAGAAATAAACGCAGCCCGTATTTCTTATTAGCTGGCAGTTTAACCGTGCACGCAACGCGAGCTCACTGTCACGCAACTTGTCGGGCACCATTACGGCGTTGCTTCCTGCTTGGCGGGCAACTGGGGTCGCCCACATCGCTACACCGTCAGGTCACGTCCCTCTTTTCACCCGGACCACGAATCCTTTCGGCGAGGTCTCGCTTCTGTTTACTTCGTGCCAGACAGCATCTCCAAAGAAAAAAAGGAAAAGAAAAGAGAAGGCAATTTAAAATTTTGTTGGGAAAAAAAAAAATAAAGAGAAAGAAAGTCGTAAAGTGTAGTTCAAGTATGCTTTTATTGATTGCATAGCCGTTGCACATTTCAAGCGTTTGTTTAGTCTCCGCACCGTATTCTCCGAAGAGTAGTCCGCGAACTGTTTAAAAGCTAATATTGTACGCTGTGCGGTCTATCCGCGGGTGCGGACTAACCAAAAATTTGTTTTTTTCTAGATATTTTATTACGACAAGACGTGGCGGATTTCGTGAATGACAAAGTGTCTTAATGATGATTTATGTACCATAAAAGCCTCTTTCTGATCTGATAAGGCAGGAATTTGTCGAGGAGTGCTGTGCATGAGAAGGTTTTACCTGCGGATCACGCACGAGATGCGTACAATGCACCGAGTGCGGACAGTCTGAGTAATATAAGAAATACGGCAAAATAAGACCAATTGAGAGGCGACGTCTTACGCGTAAGAAAAAAAAAAATAATAATAAAGCACACACCCATGTGCCAATGACTTCCAATCGCAAGTGCCAGTGTTCTTTCGTGTATGTGAATGTGTTTGACGGAGGGCATACACGTGAGGTGAGATATAGTTCAGATGGCCCCGTCTTGCCGTTGTGTTTGCCCGTGATGTCTCGAAGCCATAAACCTTATTCCGTGACACATCTTCTCACATCTCCGTCTCGTTCCTTTCACAACTCGTAAGTCGGCCTTTGTCGTGGCGCGAGGTTGGCAAGTCCGTCCGTTCGCCCTTCCCTTTCTCCGGACGTCAGCCCCGTCGCTCGGCCTGTCGAGGCGGCGAGAGATGTAGAACGGCCTGATCACGTGACTCCGTGTACGAGGGAGGTCGCGCGACTCCACGGAACCTTTACACGGCGTATGCAGTGCGTGCCCTAGAGTCGTGCGCGTGCCCCAGCGAACCTTACGGCAGTGTGACCGGTTGCAATCTCTCGCTTCGGCGCGCGATGTGGACGGTGCTGTCGTGAGCGTCTGCAGGCGGCGATAAGGGGATAACGATGAGTGCATTGCAACTACGTCACAACCAGCGTCAGCGTCGCGCGTCCACGGTGCTGGCAACCGAGTAAGACATGCATCCCGCGGTTCTTTGACCGCGAGGTTGTATCTAAGCGGATGTTCAATTATTTGAGAGCGCACGCGTCCGCTGGCATTTTTCTTTGTTGTGGTTGTCGTTTTGCATTTGATAGGCCGTAGCTGCATATGTCTGCAACTTCCTAGAGTTGACTATTTCTCGGTCGGAGATGGTTTGCTTTAAATGCCTATTTTAAATGACGAGCGACTGTATTTCTAGGCTCGAGTGGTAACCCGGGAGAGATTTCCGGAAAAAGGGTAACCCATTTTCTGGATTTTAGGGTTACGGCTGTTCTTAGCCAAGGAAGTGTGCCTAAACTATCAGGTGTCAGTTTTTTGTTTTTTCGATGCCTTCGTGTAGCTTTCTAGATATCTATCTCAAAGGTTTGTTTGGGTGTGTATGGCGAAACCGAAGCAACCGGCTCGAGCATGGTGGTTACCCTTGTGAAGAGCCATCGTGACTCAAAGTTCGTACCACGGTAGCGTAAAATGTATACGACTGGATTAGTCACAAGAGCAGTTCCGACCAGTCCGGTAAGATGATTCTGCTGTTTTACTGCTTTGCTTTATAGATATTAGAGCCACTAAATGAGCTGCGCTATAGAGTATCGACACTCTGTTCCTCGGCATTGTAATGGGCACCGCCATTTTGGCGCTTGTGCAGAGCAGAGGCAACTGCCGATCGTCATGATTCAAAAATGCGACTTCCTGCCTCAGCATTAAAGAAGCTGATGCAATATTACTTTGCTCTGTCGCGGACTGTTTAAACATTTGTAGGGGACGGAAAACCTTTTCCTGGGATTTCAAATAAAGCTTCATATAACTGGCGACCATGATTCTAAGCAACGATATGGGCAAGTGTCATTACTCTTAAGCGTAGTTTATTTAGTGGCACTAGGATATCAGACATGTGTAGCAAATACACACGTTTACACTGTTTACAAAAATCCCAGTCGACACGTGCTAAATCACAGTCCAGCCAGCGCTCGCTCGCAGTTCCGGCCAGGCAGAAAGCGCGCGCGCATGACATACAAGCGCAGCAATGAACGCGCCGTCATACGTTTTTATGGAAAGGTGTATAAATACACATTCGTAATGTTGCTTGCCAAAAAGCTGGTTCACCACGATGAACGCAGAGGCTCAGCGCAGGCTTAAAATAAGCCTCGAATTATCTTCAGAGAAAAACTACAATTTTGGTTGTGTGCAACATGGGGGATTGGTGGCCGGGTGGGCTGGCAGAAACCAGCTCGGAGCACGTGGAGCGAAAGCATCGCGTTGCAAAACCAAGGGATCTTGGGCTCAATTCCCATCCCTGCCCGTTTCGGTCTGGATGAGCATCGTACCGGCGTGCGGTCACTACTGCGTGGTGCACGTTAAAGACCCCAGGCTAGCGGTCGTACTGCACTGGCTAAATAGCTCATCTACAGCTGAGAGACAATTTTCGCCCGTTGGGGCCGTTGGGGCTAACTAACTTCCGGCTGTATAAACATACACACAACATAATTGGGGTGTGCAATGCACGTTGCAGAAGCGTTGTGGAAGTTAATCGTAAGCTTGCGCTGAGCAGGAACTTACTGTACTCCATTCACCCTTAAGCTGATGCTGCAGTCAATGCCACAAGCAGGAGAGCTCGAGGTCACTGCTTTGAAGGGTTCTTCCGCAGAACGAGTTCTCGTTCAAGAAATGCCTGTCTCAAAGCCAAAAGCGCGGGCTAGGTCACGCTTGTAACTTTGGCTGCAACAGAGTATAAACTAGGACCACCAGTGAATGCCAGCTTCGGCACCACAATACGCTTGAGCGAGCAGGAAGTAAATGATCTTCGTTCGCGATCGCCGAAGAGCACTTACAAACTGAGGCCGCCAAGAAATAGCATAACAAGCAGAAATCGTCCGCTAGACACATGGCTAAAGAGGGGCAATGTACGGCCAAATATAATATCCCCGAGCACGAATATAACATCGGGGCACAAGGTTGCTTGACAAAGAGTCAACCCGCTGAATATCTGGTGGTAGCATTTTTAATTTCGGGTTTTGGGCGGATGGCGTTTGCCATTTATTTATTTATTTATTTATTACAATACCCTCAGGGCCAAAAGGCATTACAGAGGGGGTGGGGCAACCAAAAAATGAAAAAAAAAAAGGGTACAAAAAGAGAGCAAACACAGCCGAGAATAAACATCAACAGCTCGAAACACAGCACTCTGGTCAAAAAATAAACAAAAGGACAATCACGACAAAAGGTGAGCAGATAAGGTTTTTTTAAATAAATCAATTGAAGGTATATTAACAAACGAAGCGGGAAGGTGGTTCCACTCAAGAGATGTTTTTGGAATAAACGCGTTCAAAAAGGCTGATGTGTTACAATGAGGGACACCAACTTTGAATGGATGATCAAAACGCGGAGAAATGAATGGGGGCTCAAGGAATAGTTTATCTTTCAATGACGTGTTAGAATGATAGATCTTGTAAAAGAGGCACAAGCGCGATATTTTGCGACGTAAAGAGAGGGAGGGTAGGGATAGACTGAGTTTCATGGAGGAAACGCTTGCTGTACGATGATAGTTAGAAAGTATGAAACGAACTCCGCGATTTTCATGGCTTCCAGGTTAGTTATAAGTGTCGAGTGACCGGGATCCAGACTTGTACGGTACTCATTACAAGTAATCAAATTACTTGTAATTGATTACTTTTTGAAGTAATTTTGTATTCATTTGATTACTTTTGTTTTGTAGTAATCACAAGAGTAATTTGATTACTATTGAAAGTAATGGAATTACTTGTAATCATTACTTTTTTCCTACCCCCCCCCCCCCCCCCCCCCTCGGCCAACCTAGTCACGAGACATGAGACGTCTCGACTTTATCAGCTTCTAAGCTTTTGGAATCCGAGAGAATAAAGACATTGTTGTCGAGCTCTACGAAAGGAGGTCATGCTCTTGGTCTGGACAGTTCGCAGAGTGGTTTGTTGGAACTTGGATTTCGACTCGGTCTGTCAGGTTCGGATTCTCGACGAAAGCCTTTCAGTGCGAAGTTCGATGGTTAATGTAGAATGTTTGTCTCCATTAACTCTTCATACAGTCCACCCCTCTTATATATTAAAAAAAGAACTCTAAATCCTGGTCAAAGCACCTCACACTCTTCTGCCTCCAAGATAACCAAAGGCATGTAATGTAAATGCTGAGGTGTGACTATAAATGTGAGCTCTAAGAATTCATATCCTTTGGCAGAAGTGACAGCCGCTGCCGGATCATTATCTTAGTGGGAAACTCCAGGAAAGAAAAGGCGCCACACGGAAGAAAAAGGGAGAAGCTGCTTCTTTGTACTAACTTAGAGCAATAAGCCACAAAGAGCGCAAAAGCGATATCGCCGGAGCTGGATATAGGTCACCGTAGCTCAGTGGAACTAACAGGATCTAGCGTCCTTAGCACGCACTTCAAGAAATATTCGAGCTCGCTCTACCACGCCCATGCATTATTACACCCAAAAAGCCTGAATACGGGAATCCGGAAGGGGTGGATCGAGATTATGAGTAGTCCAGCGCTTCTGTTACAACCAAGGAGGGATGAAGGCGTTCCCGGGTGAATAGCTCGGAACTTAGAAATTTTACGGCTATAAAACACGATGTTTCAGTCGTGTTTTATACAGAGATGGCTCATGCTGGGGAGGTCGGTGACGCCGTGTCTCCGTGGCCGCAGCTGGCAAGCTTGTTTGTGCTGAAGGAAAAGCGAGGTGATGGCAACTTCACATTTCAGTGTTTACTTTGTAAGCCTAAAGAAAAGCTCCTGTCTTGTTCCATGGTGACGAACTCGAACCTGCGGAAGCACGTAAAGGTATGTTTTATTAGCCGTGCATGTCCGCAGTATGTGTTTTTTTTTAAAATCTATGTATTAATCACAATCGTTCTTTTAGAATCAACACCCCGGGAATCTGGCTGACTTTGGGAACTCTTCGCGGGAACGGACGCTGCCTGAAGCTGCTTCGACGTCCACGCCGAAACAACTTACCCTCAACTTTGCAAGCGGGCGGGTGCCTCAAAAGCAGCTGGACAGCCTGATTGTGGATTTTGTTGTAGATTCCCTGCAACCTTTCTCTGTCGTCGAGGCTCCCAGTTTCGTTAAACTTGTGGATACCTTGGCCCCTGAAAACACGGTACCAACACGGAGAATGCTGATGGCGAGAATCGACGAGAGATACGAAGAGATGACGACAAGCCTGCGGAAAGCTTTCGACGAGGTTCCTTACGTCACTGTGACCGCCGACTGCTGGACATCGTTCCGACGGTAAGCCTCTTTAAGATAACATCGTGTATTCCTTGTGCGTTCTTGTCGCATATCCAGAATGTTCGTTTCAAAGATATATGCGTGGGTTTGTATTTGCTGGTCTCTGTATTTAAATATAAAAGTCTCCTCATGGAAGCTTTTTGTACGGCGTCCTCGGCACAGTGCGGCTGAAATAAATTCAATTCAATTCAATTATTCTCACTTTAAAAAAAAAACCAAGAAGGTGAGTTGTCGCGGAAACTTTTTTTTTTATTATTAAATTCGGTGATATAAAAGCGCTGATACTGCTAAAATACGTAACTAGTTTAAGAGACATAATATGACCTTAATGTTCAGACAATACCAGTATTGTCTACTGGCGATTAAGCTGGCGGGTTCTTGTTTTCGCAGTACAGTTTATACAAAATATATATATTTTTTTTTTTCGCAGGTGCAATCTGGCAGCGACTGTTTCTTGGCTCGAGCCGGCTTCCCTGAAGAGGAACTCTGCAGTACTGATCTACCAAAGAATGACGGGCAGCGTCACGCACGACAAGATTGCAGACCTTCTTCTGGAGGTTTTCAAGGAGTACGGCCTTCAAGGAAAAGTCACCAAGGTCGTGACCGACAATGGATCCAATTTTGTAAAAGCCTTCAGGTAATATTTGCCGCATACAGTAATAGCGGCCTGTTATTTATTGATCAAAATTACTCATAGAATTGCAAAAGCGCTTGCTTAGCACATCAGAACAATTCCACGCATATACCTGATCATGACAAGAAGCAGACCCACTTTGTGAATCCAATATAGCGTTCAAATTCCACCAGCAAAGTGTATCCGCTTGTTGTCGTGGTTCAAACGTTCAAAAAGTAAACGCAGGTTGTTCTTTTAGGTAACTATTATTTTCTTCATTTATAACACAGGGTGTTTGGCGAGCCTGTTCAGCCTGACGATCTAGAGCCTTCGGAGCAGGACGATGAAGGCCTGGAGTTCGTGGAGGTAGCACCCCTGCTTGAAAACGTGGACGAAGGAGAGGCCCGACTCCCCCCTCACCATAGATGTGCTGCGCACACCCTAAATTTGGCGGCTACGACCGACACCGGAGCAGCGGAGCGTCACGAAATCTTTTCGAGACCTGTTCGCTCCGTTTTGCGGACATGCCGCGCCTTGTGGAATAAGCAGGGACAGTCGGCGGTTGCTGCCTAAACCATCCGACGCTTCTGTGGGAAGGCATTAATAAGGCCCGTAGCAACGCGGTGGAACTCTCTCTACGATGCGCTAGAGTGCGTGCACAAGTTGGATGCTGAGGGCAAAGACTTCGACGGGTTATGCAGGACCTTACAAGTTCCTCCCTTCCAGCGTCCACGTGACCTACTCTTCATAGAAGAGTACTGTAAGGTGAGAGTGCCATATCTGTTATTTCTACGTTTCACAAAAGGAGGTTGAATTTATGACGAGGGATCTTCGTATCAATACCGTAAACAAAACATCCGTACTGTTAACCTTCCCCTCTATTGCATTTGCAGGTCATGAAGCCCCTCGCCTGTGCGATTGACGTGGTTCAAAGAGAAGAACACATGTTCATGGGGTACCTGCTGCCAACGATCACGGTACTCCAGCAGCGGCTCAGCCATCTTCTCCAGGCGGGCCTAGCTTTCTCCGCGCCGCTTGTGAATGCTCTACTTGATGGAATCTAGAACCGGTAAGTTTCTGAAGAAGCATAATCTGCTTCCACTTTTTGCGGGACGGAACTGTGTTAACCTATCAGATGCGATACTTTCTATTTACAGGTTTGGTCCCCTGATCAACGACCGGGAGCTGTTGCTAGCAGCCATTGCGCTCCCCCGGTTTAAAGTCGGCTGGGTTCTTGGCGAAGCCAAGCGGCAGGAGCTAGCTCAGCTGCTAACGGACGAGCTGAACCGCCCATGCTACGGAGGATCGCCCACCGGCGGACAGGAACCTCCCGCTGACTGCGGGTTCCCCTGTTGACGATTTCTTCGCTTTTTCGGCGCCAAGATCGACCCGGGACAGTGGGGAAGTCTCACGCTACCTCAGCTTTCCGGACAGTTCGACGGAAATGCTGAAGGAGTACCCACGCCTACAAAAAGTGTTCATTAGGTTTAACACTGCCCTGCCATCTAGCGCGCCTGTGGAGAGGGTGTTTAGCGTAGCAGCGGACATCCTGACCCGAAAACGCGGGAAAATGAGCGACTGCAACTTCGAGCGCCAGCTTCTGCTTAAATTAAACAAGACACAAGAAGTGTCTGTTGCATCTAAAATGAATTAAACGTCTCCCTAATATACACGTGCCTTTGTCTTCATATGATGTGCCTCAAAGTAGCTGATTTTTATTCCGTTTCTCATTGTTCCAAGTGCTCACGGTGCGAAGCTTCGTGAGCACTCGGAAAAGTAACGAAAAAGTAATCGGAAAAGTAACGATTACTTTTTCAAGTAATGCCCAATTACTTTTTCTGGAAAGTAATCTAGTAATCTAATTGAATACTTTTAAACCAAGAGTAATTGTAAATGTAATCGATTACTTTTTTCGAGTAACGTGTACAAGACTGCCGGGATCCCAGATTGCAGCAGCGTATTCTAATTTTGACCGGACCAGGGAGTTATAAAGCAGTAATTTAAAAGAAACGGGGGCCAGTGTAAAATTTCTTTTTAGAAAACCGAGCATAGAGTTAGCGTTAGCAATAATGTGGTCAATGTGGGTTTTCCATGACATGTTATAGGTAATATGGACACCCAGGTATTTGTAACAGGTCACAGACTGAAGTTGAGTGTTACAAATTGAGAGAGGTGGAAGAACCGTGTGACGACGAGAAACTCTCATAGACTTGCACTTGTTAATGTTAAGGGACATCTGCCACAATTCACACCATTGGGATACAGCACACAAATCATTTTGGAGGAGGAGTAAATCGGATTCATTAGTAACTTCACGATATATCACACAGTCGTCGGCAAATAAGCTAATAGAAGAGGATACACACGTAGGTAAGTCGTTAATGTAAATAAGAAACAATAAGGGCCCCAGAACGGACCATTAGTGTAATGTTTGGCAGTGCTCACATTTACTCTTCGTAAATCAATATCAGTCATTTATTTTGGTTCGACTTTTGACTATAATTACTCCTTGTTATATATTTAGGTACTCTGATTGCATTTCTTGTGAGCTGCTGAGCTTGGTACGCATCTTTCGCACTCGAGTTGCGAGGAGCTTGAAAAAATAGCCGCGCCGCGTTTTTAAATTTGACAACGCAAGCCCGTTCAGAGAAACTGCGGTGCGGCCAATGGAACCAACGAAGACCAGATCTCCCCCGTTGGAACCTGACCCCAGAGGCGACTTCCGTGCCGTCCCTTGCTTAGTAACGGGTTGCGACACAACGACAACAACTCTCGAAGGCGCACGGGCTTATCTCCACTCGAACCCTTAATTTAGGACGAGGCCTCTCTTCGTGTCGTCTACGCCAAGGCTATGCTGATAGCGTCTGCAATTTGACTATAGGCGGTAGCCGATGGCCACCGTTGCCGCGCGATCGTTACTGCTTGTGCTACACACCAACTAATGTTTACAAACAAACCGGAGCGCCAGCCGACGCCACCGGCGCCGCGCACGCGCGATGGAGTGTGGGCAGAAAGCTCGCCGTCTTCCGTAAACAAACCGTTGAAATGCGATGTCGTCGGCGTCGATGTGAGTCCCCGTGCTCTTTTTCACGTTGGAATGGTCGATTCTACGTCTTTCTGGCCATGTCTGACTACTTGAGCTACCTCAGAGAAATTAATGAAGCTCGTAACTTCGCGTGAATAATGTGACATGCGGCGATTCCTTCCGCGTGGACGCCGCAGAATGGACGTTAAAGCCTAATTCGAACGCTGAGATTCTGCTCGCTATTTTCAGTCATGACGTCGCTCGGGCTGCAAAAGCGTGAACCGTAGCTGAAATGTTGACGTCAATACTTAAAATCGCAAGCAGAATAGGACTAAGTGAATCAGGCATAACAAGTCGGTGATGGCCACTTGTAACAATTATCAACATATGTTTGTATCTACTGTTTACACGGAACCTATTTATTTTAACCAACCTTCAAACTTAAAAAGTCGTTCGAGTCCGGCACCTACTTCTTATCGCTATGCCCGGACGTTTGATTTACGGGCCGCTGTCGTTTGAATCAGCAGACGACAACAAGCAGAAGCGTTTGAGAGCAGACGACAGTTCGAACGATCAGACGGCCGTTGGAACTGAAGACGCACTGAACGTAGTCGGCAGATGGTCCGTACAAATTTGCGGTTTTCCCGCGTTCATGTTGGAACAAAACAAATAAATCTGACGACCACAAGTATCCAAGAATTCAACCCAAAGTGCATCCTGCAAGAGCAGTCATGGTCCGACGGCCTCTGGTTTTCCTTTTTCGTGGCCCCATCCACGTTCTCGGACGAACCGAGCAGGCAGAAAACAGATGAAAACTTACCTTCAAACTTTTCCCGACTCTTCTGGCACAGTCCTAGTCGGGGTGTTTTGACAAAAAGGCAGGCTTTTGTCTGGTTTCTTCGAAAACAACGCAGCTATGCACGTCTCGCAAGGACAGACACAAATCTCCAAACACAGCTAGGTGACTGGTGCGCGACCGAAAAAATCCGCCTGGTCCGGGTATCGAACCCGGGACCTCTCCATTACAGGTGGAGCGCTCTACCAATTTTCGGTCGCGCACCAGTCACCTAGCTGTGTTTGGAGATTTGTGTTTGTCCTTTGTCCCTCTTGTTCCCCTTCTCCAGGGATTATTTTCATCATTACTGTCCAGCTCGCTTGCACCTTTGCATTTAATTGCATTATAATCATAACCTTAAATTGCAAGCTTCGCCCTTGTTGGTGTTAGACTGGTGGCGGCTGATAAAACCCGTTTGCTCTACTGATGTCTAACCCCTGGTTAGCTAAATTGGTAGAGCGCTCCACCTGTAATGGAGAGGTCCCGGGTTCGATACCCGGACCAGGCGGATTTTTTCGGTCGCGCACCAGTCACCTGGCTGTGTTTGGAGATTTGTGTTTGTCCTTTGTCCCTCTTCTTCCCCTTCTCCAGGGATTATTTTCATCATTACTGTCCAGCTCGCTTGCACCTTTGCATTTAATTGCATTATAATAAAAAAAAGGGAGACGTTTTATTGGTTCGGCGAGTGCGTAGCTCTCACCGCGCTGTCAGCTTAGGCGAGCTTCCACAGCACTCCTGCACCGCGCGTTGCAGCGCAAGCTCACGCTCTCAACCGGACGGAAAAGACCTTGGTTAGTTTCTAACCTTGTTTGCAGGAACGACCAAGGATTTTATACAGGTTATATATACAGGTGGGCGTAGATGTCCGTAATCCTGACCCCCGGGGATAGTCAAAAAGCACTGCTTCGAAACAAAAACTTCCGAGGGATGCCCGAATATTTGTTATATCCCATCTCCATTTAAAAGGTTACAAGCACTCACTTACGTTTACTCAAATTAAAAAAAAGTAAATATGAGGGATGAATTGGAAGCGCTATATTTCTGAGGGAAATAGCTGGCGAACAATGAGCCGCATGCATATTGAGCTTAAAATAATAATGCCGAATCTGGCTCGAGCATTTGCTTCTAATTTCGGAGACTTTGTGTGCTACCGTGGACAATAGCGCCTGCACAATATAATCTGCTTCAATTGAAGGGTAGCAGCTTCACCTGTTTGTGCTTGACCTTTAGAATTACGCACTCAAAAGATGGAGGCTTACGCAATATTGACAAAAATAAACCACTTTGTTTAAAAAAGAACGTTTACAAAGTTACAAAATGGCTTTCTACACAAAAAACAATACCGAAACTTTTTTTTTTTTACTCATTGAAATTTTTAGAACTGTAATTTCCCTAGCCCAGAAAAAAAAAATCCATTAAAACTGAGCTTTCATATTTTCTCAAAATAATTTAATTTGAGAGCGAACTTCTCTCGGTAGTCCAATTTGGCTTAACAAGCTCTGGACCTCGTTTTACGGTAACAAAGGTCGTGAAACATTTTTTTTTTGGACTTAGACATTTAGAAATAAAGGCACCTAATTTTAGTTTATGTGATGACGGGTGATTGTGACTTCTCTTAGCCGTAGGAGTGAGGGTCTGCGACATTGCGGCATTCTAGTCCACGTCACCAATGCATTCGTTAATTCGCACTTCTAGCTTGGGTTGTCTGATGTCTCCAGTTGCGTGGGAAGATTCATAGGAAGAGTCCCTAAGCCCCTCAACGGTCAAACGTTTTAAATAAAAAAAAAACTGTTATACACTAGCCAAAAGTTAATTTTTTGGTGGCATGGCAAATATCGGGTCAACAAAACAGATCTGGGCAACGTTTCGGCCGTAACCTCATGTATCAGCAGACTCTCCCTCCCCCCGCCAACCGAGTGCCTACTCCCCTCCTAAGCCTTGCCCATATATCCGCCCCTAGCGTAAGTCCGGGACCTAAACAAGAACAAAGCATGATGCACTGCGTCTTTACGAACAATTCCCTTTTCTAGATCTGACCAAGAAAACACAAATAACATCAACAACAAAGACATTGCATTAAAATGTCCGTCATAGGCCATAGTTGTTTTAATCCTGGGGATACAATTGAATTACTGAGGGCCCGCGAATCAAATGTCGCGACCAACTGCGACCTGTTGCTTCATGCCCATCCTTCACTTATTTCTTTCCATCTTGTGCCTTTAATTTTTACCGCTGGTAGATTGGAGAAAGCACTTAAAAGGACACTGACAAAGTACTTATGCAGGCCGATGTTTTTATTTGAACAAGATCTATCAGAGCCCCACTACACAGAATACAATTCGCGGCTCGAAATTCGCATTCTTTTCGCCCGAAAACTGCCGGTCGAGAATTAAATGGTTTCAGGCGCTCTCACTCTCTTTTCCACGGCCACGTGCCGTCCACACTGATGCGTACCAAAGATATTCAAAGTTGTGGGTAATCTAAGGAGCACATTCAGTATTAAAAATAGAAACCAATATGAATCCCATCTCTTTGTGGCTTCCAAGGAGCTGCAAATACGTTGATTGAGAAAAATTGCTGCACAGAATACAGGAGGAAGTTGTACACGTCATTCTCAATATGGCGACGTACGGCGGGCTGGACGACGCGATGTCGGCGCGCGACGTACCAACGTTGCGACGGACGTGGGACCGCTACATCGGAACTGTAGTTCGTGGTACAGGCCGATCGATCTTCAGGCACAGAACAGCGAGGGGAAGAGATATAATGCGAAACAATCGCACGACAAACGGTTCAAGCAATGTCCTTGTTGTCGCTGTCTGCTTCACACGCCCAAAAAGCGAAAGAGCGGGAAAAAAAATGGGTAGGGAGCGATAGCCACGTGACTTCCGGCAACTCTCTCTTCCAAGCCTCCGTGTACATGTTCGGTTTCGGTTTCGAGCAGTTGCGTTTTTTTTACTTTATTAAATATATACGTGATCCTGTAGCAAAATATAGATTGTGTAGTCTTCTGATGCTATACTAAATCGCCTAACAATTTTTGAGGGGGTGTGTCAGTGTTTTTATGGATGATTCTGCGAGCGTTTTGTTATATTTTTACTAAGCATTAATCGACGGCGCCTGTTCTTCTATGCTTACCCTATCCTCTTAAAGGTGACCAGTAAATCAATCACGTACCCTAGCGTGGATGTACCAGAATCTCGAGGATAGCTATCTTTGGCTATAAAATATTCAGAAAATGTAATCATAACCACGGGGCAAAGAAATAAAGCCACTGACACTGCACTCTATCTTAGTTTTCCTCACGATGCCCAAAACAACGCGTGGTAGGCTTGAGAAGTTACGGGCGTTTGCGGTATGGTGCAAGGTGGGTGGAGTGACTCTCAAGTGAGAGTCTCACTCCACCCACCTTGCATGTTGGGTGGAGTGAGAGCCGAGGTGGCTGTTGTAAACGACAATGTTTACACAATCGCGCCACTGCTCATTGAGGCTGTCTGCTACATGAACTGAAAGACTAAAAATGTACTCCACAGTACCATATTTTATATTTCGACTGTCGCGACACCATCGATGCAACCTGGTACATTGAGTAACGGACATCAGAAATGCACCGCGTTTCGTTGCTGCCGCACAGCGCTCATTACACGACACTGATCGAGCATGAAATATTGAGTTCTAAAATTATATAAGGTTGTGTGCTGTTAATACGATTTTATATAGTAGCCCGCGATAACGTCTGCATCGTCTTGCAAGCTTACATCTTGTTTGTGCTTCTTTAGTGAAGAACCTTGATAGACAAAAAAAATGTTCTAAAAAAATCAATAAAGCATCGCTCACATAAAACCGAAAGAATAAAACACGCAAGACAAGCACAGGACAACCACGTGGTTGTCCTGTGCTTGTCCTCTCTGTTTTATTCTTTCAATTTTATGTATTCATATTGAACTCGCTCGCCTTTAGCAGCATCACTTGCCGTCGTTTTTTGTTAGATATCCGGCTGTTAATTTCGTCAGACACCTACACACTCTTCTCTCGAGCCGCCGCTGCTTCGAACCGCCACTCCTTCGCATGAGTGTTCACTGCATTACTCATATCCGGCCTTTTTACGGCCGGATAGCCGCTTCTTTGCTTATATTTTAGTCGAGCTGCAACTCGGTATTTTATGGTGATGCTCGAAGAAAGTACAGCACTTTATAACTTTGTATATTTGTTGCCAGAAGAGTTTTTTTGCCTCTTTAAATGATACACTTTGAAGGCAAAGGCAATAAATAAGGTCAGAAGAAGCGAGGGAGGTTTCACGCAGCTTGGAAACGTAAGGGATTCCTTTACGGATCATGTAAATGAGCAAACCAAATTGAAAAGCAAAAAAACAAAAAGATTGTTAGATAGCATCTACAGCAGGCTGCTGTTTTCAAAGCGAGAGGCTTTGAAGGCTGCGCAGCTGGGGATTTTGAGCCACGTGAAGCGGCGATGGAGGGTACATGTGCGTTGCGTCAAACGTCAATCTTTGGCCTTCACGAAGTTGTCTTTCGTCGCTGTGGCTCATGCTGTGGCTCCACCCGTGTTGGATGAGGCCTGTAGAGTTCGCGCTTCCGTTTAAATACATACAAAAACTCGAAAAGAAGCCTCTTCGAAGCTTTGGAGTAGCATCCGACGTTTTTGAAAAGAGACCTTATAGCTTAGTTCTTCGGCACTCTTAATAAAGTGCGTCTCTAAGCGGCTTCCACTTTGAGGCGCTCAGTAGGAGGGTAGTTTTTAATTTCTCCGTACCAGATTGACCTTTTTCGTTTTTTTTTTTTGTTTAGACACGTAAAGGAATTGTGGTGGAATTTATCTAATTATTGCTTGCACTTAATTTGCCATTGGATTATGATATAATTACGAAAATAATTTGTTTTCTAGATGGCGTTATAACTATAGTCGGTGACAGGTTAAGAGCAAAGTTGAAGCTCCTCCCACCTCTCTCCACTTTAGCAGAGCGAACGCTGGAGAGGAGGTCACCTCCCTTCCAAAGTTTGCCCTGCTAAAATGGAAATAGTTGGGAGGAGTTTCCAATTTACCTTTAATCTGTCACCGATTATATAATACCCTCAATTGATTTCAATAACATAATAAATCTACATTTCAAGAGCGAAGGATCGTGATTGTAATCGCTCGTTAATTTTCGGTAACGCGCGCAAGACGGGTTTTTGGAAATGCGAAATTGCGTAATGCTACACATGGCTTGCCCGTGACGTTATCAAGTCATGCTGGGTGTCATTCATAGTGTCCTTGCCAGGGAAAACAAATTCTATTGTTTTAAACGCATGTTTCTGAAGGTACGCGCTCAGTTGCAAGGACACTGCATGCTATCTGTGGAACGCAGAGAGCGTTAAAGGGTAGTAAAGTATTTTACGCAAACTGAAAAGTATTTCCCCTGGTTGAATTTGCAATCTAAGTAAATTGAAACTTGAATATTGGTAACTACTATCTTTGTCGCTGTCGGCAAGTGAATGGTTACGGTTGACTTAGGAGTTCCGTTGGTTTTTTTGACGTTTGTAGAGCCTGGTCATGTGTGTGATGTGGTGCTAAGCAGATTCAGCGAATATGTCCGAGCTATATTCTATGCTCTCATTTCAGCGTCATGGCTGCAAGAGGACTACACCGGTGGCCTTCCAAACTTGGATTATACCTCCTCTTTGCCAGCTGTGTGCTCGTATTCTTTCTATTCAAGTCGTACCGACCAACTAAGCTGAACAGCAGTGAGCATTCTCCTCTCGCGCACAACTTCGTCGACTCTTTAGTCGATGACAAGCAAGACTACGCAAGGTCAGCGGCAGAAAACCCTCATGTGTACCCCTTCATCATCGACGCGTCGCACGTATGCAACAGTTTCGAAAACGTACCCACCCTGATCGTGTTCGTCACCAGCGCCCCTGCGCACAAGTCGGAGCGTGAGGCCATCCGCAACACTTGGGGCCTCCACTCCTACCTGAATCACCGCAGCACCAAGGTGCTGTTCCTCCTCGGCCGCTCCAGCAAGGACACCGAGATCAAGGCCGAATCTCAGGTTCACAATGACATTATCCAGGGCGACTTTGTGGACAGCTACGACAACCTGACCCTCAAGTCGGTCATGATGCTCCAGTGGACGCAGTCCTTCTGCCCTAGCGTGGACCACGTCATGAAGACCGACGACGACGTCTACGTGAATCTGGACAACTTGTTGCCGCATCTGGCGCGTTCCATGGGCGACCGTCGCCGCTGGATCCAGGGGTGCATCAAGAGACACGTCGGTGCACCCGTCAAGTTCGTGGACGGCAAGGCTGTGGGGCCCGTAGACGACAGGACGCTCCCTAAAGCGCATCCTGACTTTGTGGCGGGTGCGGGTTACGTGATTTCAGGGGACCTGGTCCCGGACCTTCTGGCGGCTTCGGCGAACGTTCGATGGATGCCAATCGAAGATGTGTTCGTGACGGCCAAGTGCGCCGCTCTGGCTCACGTCGAGCCCGAGACGGACGATCGGTTCAGCTGCGGACGTGGGCTGAGGGAACCGTGTGAGATGAAACACATGTTCACCGGTCATCAGGTCGATCCCCAATTGATGAGGACGGTGTGGGATGCTATGCTTGTCGGTTGTCGCTAGAACTATGGGTGGCCCTTTTCGCCTTAGAGTAATCCCGGCAACTTCGCGAGATCTGAGCACAATCCCAGCCTCTTTGTTATAACTTGTCTAAGAGTACTGTGATTGGGTAAACGTGATATAATAAAACGGCAAGCTCCGTAGTTCCACTATGATTAAATGAGTTTTGCATTGTTGTAACAGAGAAACCAATGTAAATCGCATTTGTAACCAATGAGTGCGCACGGTAGCTTTTATTATGATTACGGAATTAGGCTGAGAATTTGCAGCCAAAGGGGTTCAGTCTGCCCCATGGGCATTGAAGGGTATTAAATTATATTATAGTAATAAGGCGGGCGAACTGCTATCAGCTCATGATAAATACCCGAGACTGGAGGAAGTGACTTGAGACTTCTGCGTTTACTTTTTTCTTAATAAAGTTGAAGCTTGGGATAGATATTTCAAGCGTAAAGGGTCTTAACTGCTGTTCTGCGTGAGAGATTAAGTTCTTTGATCTCGCGTCAGTATGTCAGAGTATATTTTAACGAATACAATTTAGCTAGAAGCTTTAGGAAGCCTTATGGCAATAACCCAGGAGACAAGGGAAGAGAAAGGAGGGGACAAACACAACACCGTTTCGAACATAACAGACGGTGTTGCCTTTGTCCCCTTTTTTGTATCGCCTCGTTTCTGGAGTTTCCTAGTTTGACCGCTTACCAGCTCGCTGGCCCCGTTACCCTTATTTCTGTAATGATTTGAGTATTCTGTATTGTTCAAATTCTGACACGGGTTTTTTTTGCGTTTAGTTTATAGTTTTGATCGCGTGTGAGAGTCTTGTCATTAGAGCTCCCGCGCTGCTGACCTATAGGCGTGATTGCACTACAGACCCTATGCTACGTCAACTTAAACCCTCAAATCTACGTAGTAATCACAAAAGGATACAAAAATAAAAGTGACTAAAAAGTATTTACCAAAAAAAAAACACAAAAAACTAATTTGCGTACGTTGTCAAATGTTTTTTTTTTTTCCTTTTTGAAATGTTTTACTCCGTGTGCGGCTAGAAGGCCTGTGGATTCTCACATCAATACCCGGACCTCTCGAGTGACGTGTTCCTGAAACAGACGAATCGCTTTGCAGAAGTCTGCATTATGAACCGCTTTTAAAAGTTACCTCGTGACAAATGTAAATGGAATAACTCTCGTTGTCATTCTGCGAGGCTTGTAAAGTCCAAAGCAGCTCAACCTGTAAATAAATAAGCGTATGTCACGATTGGGCGTTTATACAGCAGCATGATTATGAGGCACTAGAAAGAAAGATCACTCGCGTTCTGAACAGACACTGAAATTAATACGAGGTCTTCTTGTCTTCCTGGCGTCATGTGGCTTCATAATTATGGTTACTCAAAGCTGCTTCTTGATGCCCCAACGTGGTACAGCAAGCGTACGTTCTTAGATAAGACTAGCTGAGCCCACCGGCAACTCGTAATTCAACGTCTGAGGTTTCGAAATTATTGACATAACTTTGTTCCAATAAAGCTATGTTCTATGTTCTACCAATTAAAATTTTCGCTATAACTGTGAGTACGACAAAAAGTGCACAATCTCAGAAGTGTTTACGTATATACAGAAACGCGATAAACCCGAGACACCATCATAGGGTCTTTCCTTAATTTGTGGAACGCCGAATGCGTCACGTGGGAAACATGCTTGCCGGAGCTTCTGAGAGTGGACCACATTTCATGGTGGGCTCATTACAAGACTGAAACCATAAGCGGGCACACATTTCAACGCAGCTGAGATAGCTTTTTCACTTGCCTGTGAGGGCCATTGCGTTCTTTAGGAAGCCGCTTAGCAGTTTTTGCGATGAAGAAAATGGAGGAGAGGATGGACACACCCAACCAGATTTCCTGGTAGCTGCCGACGTACCCGAACACCTGGCCGGCCTGCACACACGGATATGAACATACTGACTAGAAACGTTACTAATCAGAAGGTAAAAAGGCAACGCTCGTTACTCACTAAAACAGCGACCGATTACTTTTCTTGTGAGCGAACCTATTGTTATTACTCTGAAGTTGACATAACTACAGGCGACGTGAGGAGAAAGTGCAGGTGCGGTAGGAAAGAAAAGAAAATTGCTACAAGGTGAACCGGCCAAACCCTGTTGATTTTAGTTTTCGACCTTGCGTTGGGAAATTGTGAGGAACCATCGGAAGGAGCCGACGTGTTCAGCAGTAAGCACGACTCTCCAAGTTTGTGAACGAGACCGTACTTAATGCATTCGGAGCTTTTTAACCGAGATACAGCGCGAGTTTCGGGTAGGTACGCGGCCGTTGTAAACGTTCCTCATAAAAGAGCATTCGAACTTCCTTACTCGATTAGAACTACCTAAAATACGACAATCGTTCCTCTTCACATATAGTAATTAAGTAATTTACTTTGTTTATAGAATACTGCAATGCGCTTAGAGTAGAGAACTGTCCGGGCTAATTGCTTCATGCTATACTTTTACCCCTGAACACGAGGAAGTAAGTATTATTATTACATACAGGGTGTTTAATTTTCATTCGAAAATATTTTTTTTTTAAAGGGGATGAGATTTAGACGAGTGCCGTTTTTACTATATATCTATTAGGCTCGGGGGACATTAGATTGGAGAATGGTTGCGTTAAGTTGGGAAATTAACCAAAATTTGTTAATTTACTTTTTAGTTATTGGTTTTAGGTGTCATGTTGCAGTGGCAGTATTGACGGTAGTTACTATTGGAGGCCACAACACTTTAAATAATTTCCGAAAATGTAATGGTTCTTGAGATATTCATCGATACATTTTCTCCTTTTTTTGGTCCGATTTAGAAATCGCGCTCAAAAAGATGAGCGCAGCAAGCCCTGCTCATAATGACGCTTATACGAGTGAAGCGATCGTTCGAGTCACGTCGTCCCTTGTGTCGCCTCAGACTTCACCAAGGACACGCTGCCGAGATAGTGATGACACGAATGAAACGACGACATCACTCTTTCATGCGTCTGTGCGGGCAATGTTTGAGCAACACCGGTTTGAGGCGCTCTTTTTAAGCGCAATCTTTAAATCGGGTGAAAAAACGCGTAAATGTATCGAAACATACCTAGAGATATTAGATTCCTAACGAGAGTGTTGGTAAGATGTACTAGATAACAGAAAGTATAAAACAGAGAAAGAATGTACTCGTCTTTGTTTCGTCCTTTCTCTGTTTTATACTTTCTGTTATCTAGTATATCTAGAGAGCAACTGCTTTTTTGCCAATTCTTCCTATTTGTTTGACTTCTAATAGTAATTGACGCCAATACTGTAATTGCAACATGCCCACTTAAACCAATGATCAGAAAAGTAAATTAACATAATTTATTTAGTTAGTTAACTTACCGCGATGATTATCCCCTCTTCTAATGTCCCTGTGCCTGATAAATACATAGGGGAAAACGACACTCGTCTATCATCCTCGTGTTAAAAAAAAGAAAAGAAAAAAAAAATACTTGTTTGAGATATATATATATAAAGCTTCGTACGAAGTATAGTATTTTAGAGCCCACGGGAAACTTCAAATTTGGTGAGTAGCGATGATTTCCTAAAATTGACTACTGTAAGCCTAATTCGCTCAGTTCATGCAAACAGCCACTGCGCTCAAAAACCCGACAGCTGCATCTCTCACCCCAGTATGCTTTTTCTATTGAGATCTCCTTCTAAACTCGGGTACAACTCTATGTAATACTAATAAAAAAAAAAGATAGGGAAAAATTGCTTGGTTTGTTTTGACGACTTTTGGTTTGCAAACTCGAAAATCCTTCGGCGCTAACAAAAGTTCGAGCTCACGGAAGGTACCACTACAACTGTATAGACAATTGCAAGCATGGCACTGCGACTGGCGCCCCACGAGTGCAAGCACGTGCAGCGTTAACGAAGCTTAAGCAAGCTTAAAATTGCACGGACTTGTTTGCACGAGCAGAGACATGGCGGCGGCCTGGCCTTGCTTGCAATCGTCTATACACCACGCAAGAGTAAGTGCCATGTTTGTTTTGCAGGGAGCTAGAAAACCTGAGGCAATCAAGCAAACCCAGAGCTAAAAAAAATGTTATACGTTTCGCATTTCCTGACTAATATTATAGCAACATTGCACAATCGAAGCTAAAAAAGTAGACAATTTTATCATTTTTCGTCGGTTTAGTTACACCCAGCAAATAATTTTGGTCGAACTATGTTCAGCTGCGCAGTGAAACGGCGTACTTCGGCTCTGTATAGTCGTAGCCCCATTGCCACAGAAGAGGGTCCCCGAAGATAGCTGAGTCTTTCCACGGTACTAAAATTTAGTGTATATTTATGGCAGTGTTTCCCCCGTAACCAAAAATATGCATCGATATAGCGTTAATTGTTACTTCGTCAAAAACGCATAAGATTCTTCGCCATCCTGCAGGAAGTGTAACAAAATGCCGTCACCGTTACTTTCTCTGACTAGAGTCCCCGACAGCTCGAGACAACGTTACTAGAACACTCAGTTGGGAAACTCACTGTTGAAACCTGGGCCGCTGGCGTCCACCGAGACCGAGCTAAATGCGACAATAGCGCCACTCTTTATCATTTGTCTGTACTGTGGTCACCTTGAGCTTTTAGAGAGCATGTTTTTGCGTAAAAACAAATGGAAGAAAAAAACCTCTTTTTGTAGTAACTTTTATTGGAGTTTAGTACAAAATGAAGCGCGCGTGATGTTTTCTGAAATCTGTAGTTTGCAGGTTTTTGCAGCACAATTAATATTGTTTTTATATAACCATGCCTCAGCGGTGATTTTAGGTAGCGCGTCCCGACCTATGCGCATCTTAACTTCGGTAGTATAACTCGCGGCGCGTCCGCTTGGGAGGCGGGGGTGGCACCTCTGAGACTCCTTCCACCGTATCTGTTTCGGCGCCAGAATGGCCGATTAAAGCCAAAATAGAAGTCACGGGCAGTTCCTCGAGTGGCCGCCGCGGGAGAAATGGCGGCGTTGTGATCGTCATTAGCTTGGTTCTGGAGGACGGGTCGCTGCCACTATTTCAGAGCAGTCTCTATGGCAGTTTCCCAACTGAGTGGTTCTAGTAACGTTGGCTCAAGAGCATCTCATGCTCGCTTCGAAGCCAATGGGATTGCAGCATTAGCAGATAAAAACGCCT